TTATAGTTAAAGGTGTAGAAGGATGTGATTCTTTTTAATCGCAACACATGTGACTATAGAGAGGGGTACCATCTGAAAATATCAACTGGCAGAAAAACCAAACAAATTAAACAAAAAAAACAACAAAACTACCACCAAAACCAAGCTGCCTCCTATGGTCACTGCTTGAGTGATTATGACCATTTTGGAAGATACACAGGAAGACAGTGTTGGAGAAGTGAAGTAAGGCAGATACATATACACACAAAATTCTGTGCATTTGTACCAGTGTAAATGAGGGAAGTAGTGCAGTGTCAGCATGCAAGGTAACAGCTTCTATTTACAGTGGCCTGCACTGCTCCAAAATAAACTATCTACACCTCTGGAAACAAGAATGCTGTGCTATGTTTCTTATACAACTTGAGCAATGGCCAAAAGCAATTCCCCTGGCCACAGCATCCACCCACAACTTTGCATCATACTGCAAATATCTCACATTACTTTGTGTCTCAACATTTTAGACCTTCGACTCTCTCAGGGAGTCAAATGCAAAACTTACTGCTTAACATGAATCAGATGCTTTTGTACATTTTCATTTGCACTGTTAGGTTCACATACCGGAAGATTCAAGTGATAGAAAAATGAAAAGGAAAAAACCTTATAACGTGACATTTCTTAACTGCAGAGGATTTAATACAATGATGTTTAGAAGTATCTTAAAGTACTTTCTGATTTTATTAGAGCATCCTAACAGCAAAATATTTTGCCAATAGGTGGCACCAGCACTAGTTAAAAAGTGTAAGGAACCCTGCCCTTACTGAGCAACAAGCCCTCCTCTCCCATTTTACTGGGCACCAACATAGACTTAATTGTGTCTCCTAAACCAATAATAAAGGTTCACAATCCTGCTCAGGAGTACTCATTGCTAGTCATGTGGTTGTACAACACTTCTTTTGCTGAGAAAAGTGCAAATAGTAGCTAAGCAGTCACTACTACAGACTTTTGGCCCCCTCTGCTACACTAGCTGCTCCTCAGATTTTTTGTTATACCTTCTTCTATTGAAAACACTGGATCAGGAAGCTCCCATATTTCAAACTGACAGAGGCTGACACCACTCTAGTGTGGGACCCCAGTTGAGTACTGCATCCAGTTCTGGGGACCTCAGCACAGGAAAGACGTGGACCTTTTGGAGCAGGTCCAGAGGAGGGACACAAAGATGATCAGAGGGATGGAACTAAAAAGAAAGTTTGAGTGAGCTGCAGCCCTTCAGTACTTCAAAGAAGACTGTAAGAAAGATGGGGACAGATTTTTAGCAGGGCCTGTTGCAATAGGACACAGGGGCAATGGTTTTGAACCAAAAGAATTATAATTTAGATTATATAAAAGGAGTGTCTTCTACAATGAGGGTGACAAAACACTGAAACAGGCTGCCCAGAGAGGTGGTACATGCTCCATCCCTGGAAACACTCAAGGTCAGGTGGATAGGACTCCGAGCAGTCTAGCTGAAGATGTACCTGCTCATTGCACAGAGGTTGGAGTAGATGATTTTTAAAGGTCCCTTCCAACCCAAACCATTCTATAATTCTATATCCATGTACATACTATCTACACTTGCTCTACTCTTACACTTTGAGAGCAGACATCAGGCTCAACAGAATGCTGGCCAGCCAAAGTTAAGCTGCTCTAGTTGAACACCCAGGCACTAAAGAAGCAGTTGCATTTTCAGGACTCAACTTTGCCACAGGAAAAAGGAAATAGCCATCAGTAAGACTATCTCTGGCCAGGCTGGGGTCAAAGCTAAGAGATGTCCTTGACACAAAAGGCAAGAGCTCAGATAGCAGCAAAGAAAGGACTGTCATACTCATCCAACTGCCATGCTCACACATCACTGCAGGAATGCACCATGTGCTGGGGGAAAAGATTAAAAAGAGAAAAACAGAAGGAGATAGTGCAGACACACTTTCATTTTGCGCAAAGCTTACATTCAGTTATTCACCATTAAATCCAGGGGTAGCATTACGCTGTAGCATCCAGAAAAGGAAACATCAAAATGTGATGCTAAGTAACATGGTAGTCTGTTCAACAAGATTTCAACAGCCTTTATGTTAGCAGTCACTTGTGCTGGGCTTTTTTGGTTGGCTTTCATTTGTTTTAAGAAGAGCACCACAGTTTTTCCTCTAAACTTTTCTTTTTAAAATTCAGGAACATATAAGATTCATTATCACATTAGGTAAAATGTCTCCACCTTCTTTAGGAAAAATAAGGCACAAAACATTCTTCAGAACTAGATTTTACCCCCGCTACAGTTTTGACAGCCCTCTTAAGAGTTTAGATGAACTCTTAACTCCTAAGAGTTAAGATAAAAACCTGAATGGAATAACTGAAATTAAAAATCTGCCTTAAATTTGTGTGAACAATAAAAAGATTGTGTTTGCATGCCTCTGTTGGGCATACTGTTTCACATGTGTCAAGCAAAAAACATCACCTTCTTCAGACAGTGCATTGGCTGTTTAATAAACAAAAGGGTCCCAATGGCTAACAGAGTCAGCAGTGGTAATCAACCCTTAAATGATGTATAAGGTTACCATAGGAACAAACCAAAAACAGAAGTCCATATCATAACACAAAACTTCAGTGCACCAGCTAGTGAAATTTCTGTTAGGGCTTTTTTTTTTTTTTTAGTACAGGTAGAAATCAAGAGCCCATAAAAATGCAAAATCAACTTGACCGCATGCCATCATCTCTCTAATATTTTTGTACCTGTTCTGCATTACCCGACAGTTGTAGCTTCAAAAAGCATCTTCTGTTCAGTATATAGAAGAGTAGATATTTAAACAGAGAAACTCAAGTGAGATAGACAAGAATTAATAAATAATTAACTGTAGGAACCATGTTTTGTATAAAAATATTCCCCAAATCAATCAATGTCCCAAAAAGACCAACGGTAGCACAAATGGAAATACAAGCTTAGCAAGATCTGATTTTTCATAATGTTCTCAGAGTTAAATTCCCTGTTCTTATTTTATTACTTTATGGCACAGACTTCCCATTCAATTACCTTTTATCTGAAAAATATTAATATCTATTTCTATAACATACATTTGAATAAAAACCGATGCCTACTTTTTCTGTTACCTTGGTTTGATACAAGCAAAATATCCTACTGGAATGCACATTTAGCTCTATTTTAGAGTATAAACAGAAAGCATTATCATTCTTGACAACCTTGTACTTTCTGAAACTTCAGCATGGACCTCAAGCTCTTCATATTGCCCAGAATTTCCCCACCCCACAGTATGATCATTTTCTGTTTCTGCATTTTTCATTACACTTCAATTACTTTTTAATGTTTTCCTTTCTGATACAAGGAACTAGAAAAAGAATTTATTTTTTTAACCTAGAGAGAGATAGAGATTACATGAGAACCTAAAACTTCCAGATTTATTTATAAAGAAATTGATTTTACTATCTGTTTCCTTTTTATTATGCATTGATACAACTAAAGTACACCTGCCTAAGCAATGATCTGGTCTATAATTTTGCCATTAAGATCACCTCCTAAAGATATACCTCAGTTTTTACATATTTTGAGAGCCATAAAAAGTAGTATATGTAAGAAATGCAAGTATAACTGTAATATGCACTGCTTTTAAAAAGGCAGCCATTGTCAAATCATTGCAGAAAGATTTAAGAGGACTCTCTTTTGCAATTCAAAAACATAATAATAAACATAATACATTGAAGAATCAAAATAAAGTCTGACTGACAAATTATGCTGTATCATTCCCTCTTCTGTGTTCCAAAAAGAGAACAGACAGATTTTGAAGAACAGATTATATGAAGAAGGAAGTGGAAATATGATTATTAGCATATGAATTTGTAACATAAGAAATCCCAGTTGCAGCAAGTTCTGAAAATAAGCATATATGATATAAGTATCATAGATGTGACCTTCATCATGATCCATCATCTTAGATGAAGACAGGGTGGGGGGATAATCATACCATATGAGCTTCTGGAAGATTCAGAAAAATTAAACAGAACCAAAATACTAAAGGTATAACATTCCTAAAATCTATCTAAAAAACCCCACACACTGATTGCATATGTATGGCAGGAGTTCAAACAGCTTTTCAAAATGAAAACAACAGATGTGACTTTAAAATGGAATCTTACCTTTCTGTCTCTTCACTTGGGGAATATTGCTGATGGTGGTTGCCTGAACTATTTCCACTACAATTTGATACCTAATTTTAAAAACAGTAGGGAATAAGGGTGGAGAGAGGGAAGAGAAGAAAAAAACATAGTATTAATTTTTTACAATATGTTCTTCATACAGCGCACTTAAGAGTTAACAAAAAACAAAATACTTCTACTTCCTCCTCACCTGAAAACAGATTAATGTCACAGTATACCTGCAACCTAAGGAGCACTGTGCACATGGAGCTATACCTGCAACCTAAGGAGCACTGTGCACATGGAGCAAGGAAAAGAGATTATCTTGAAACAAAAAGTAAACATTCAACAAACAATAACACTGCCCTCTTCTCTCAACTGATGGCATTGCACAGACAGGTAATAATCAGTAAACACAATATAAACTCACACTCTGAACATTAAATATAAGTTTTCTGTAGGAAACCAGAATGATTGTTCAGTTAAAAGAAAATAACTGTAAGGTTCTTCCAGCTAATCTACTCCATACATATATGGAACATATATGAATTCATAGAAAAAACAAATTACACTAAAATATGTAAAACATCAAAATGCTTCATTCCAGGAATAATTAAAACATGTTTATTACCTAAAACTATACTACACAGTAGTTTATTACCTAAAACTATACTACACAGTAGCAGACAGTTAATGCAGCTAGCAAACTGAATTTTAGGTAAAACTGTTTTTGTAACTAGCAAATACTATGCACTTAACTGTCAGTTAAATCTTTCATAAATGTCAAGGTTCTGGTCATAACATATCTGCTTTCAATGCATTTACTTTGGTAGCTATTAATTTTGGTAAGAAAGAAGTATTCCTGTCAATTTGCTATCTATCAAGTTAACTCTTAGATGAAAGCTGAAGCCTCCTGGAAAGGCTGCTATTTTTGTGACTACTTATTCTCCATTTAATAAGGAACATGTGATCCTAAAAACATATTTCCCTTCTTTCATGTAAACTTTTTTCACCAACATGACTCAATTTCCCCCATTTCTCTTGTCTCCTATAACTATTTTAAAATTGTGACTGTCTCTGGCTCTGTGTATACACAGTTTTATATGCAGGGCATACACTCACAACTATGTTTCCACTTCTTTTTTCTGTACCAAATTCTTAAATTATCGAGTTGAAACCTGAAAACCTGTTTGAAAACCTGTAATTTTTGTATCACTACTTCCGTTTGCCATTACTGTATTTTGATTGTTTCCACCCACGGCCACCAGTGCCCAGTCTGTCAGAGGAAGAACAGCCCCATAGGAAGGGTGGTGGTGTGGTGCGTAGGAAGTCCCACAGTTAATTCTCCACTCAGACAAAGACTCCCCAAGTTATTCAGGGTAGCTGACTTAGACTTTTGATGCATTGATTATGTGATCTGTAAATGCACTGCAATGACACTCATTCACCTCACTCAGGTGTTGTAGGCTGTGAAATCATGAATTTATCAAACAAGGTACAGACAACTAACTGCACATGGAAGGTAATTCCCACTTATCTTGCAACTTTTTCCCTTCCAGATTTACTCCCATTTTTTCACATTCACCATTTCCTGTGGTTTTATTACCAATACTTAACACAGCATCTTTTTTCCTGTTCAATTACTTTAAGTATGGGAGATGCTTGAAGTTACATGCCCAAAGATTCTATGTAGTCTGTTACTCCCAAGCACCAGGCTCTTGCTGCAACTACTCAATGGGAGTGCTGTACAACACTGCACCACAGAAACATCCTCATGCTACACTGCCAGAACATGACACTTTTCTCCCTGTAACTGTTCCAAATATTCTAGCTGCTAGATGTTCTGTGGTGTTGGTGAATAAACATCTAAAGACATTTTAAATGTGATGTATTAATTTAATTTCTAAGAAGTGACTGTACTTGATAAACTGGACCTTTCATGGTCTCACATCCACATTACTTCTTTCTTCCCTATTCTTTCTTATATTCATTCATTTCTCTCGTTTCTTAGGTAAAAGATGATATAAATCCAGTAGTAATTGTCTTTCTTAACATGAATTGTGACTTTTTGCTGCTGTAATAATAAATATCAGAATAAAAACAATGCTGATCCTGAGAGCAGAATAAAAGCTATACAACAGCTTATTTCCTTACCACTATTTTCTCTCAACTCAATGTTTTTAACTCAGCATGTCTCTTATCTTTGGTCTACTTCTGACAGAGAAAGTAAATGTTTCACAGCTGATGTGAAAGAATTCATCTTTTCTCCCTTATTTGTAGCAGAATTCCAATTAATCCATACTGACTTCAGTCTGAGGGGAAATGAAGGTGAAATTTCACCATTTCACTTTTTCTTCTTGAAAGACAACACTCTTTGTGAAAACTTGGTAATACAGGAATAAAAGTCTGCCTCCCCTCATGACAAGCATCAAAGAAATGAAACATTAGGAAGAGTGAGTTTGAAGGACATTTGTGCATAACCATACAATGGTCCCTTCTGTGAAAGCTTTGTTGGTTTGTTTTTCTCACCCCATTCCTCTCAACAAATTCAGCTTTTCAGATGGTAAAGACATGATAGGAAAACAAATAAAAATCCCCAAAACAGCTCCCCAGAAATCAGCAACTTCACTTTTAGGAAAATATTGTCTTCCCTGATTTCTCTATAAAAATTAAAGGGATATTTCCACAAAAACAGTAATTATGTTCCAAGAGATTAAATGACTAAATATTAGTGGTTCACTATAGATACAAACAAACTACAAAACAAAGTTGTCCAAAATTGATATTAAGTAGTTACTGCATCATTTAAATACATTCCAAAAGGCAATGCAGAAAATCAATACAATATTTCTTCTTAAGGTAGCACTTGTAAGCTAGAAGCAAAACAAGATTCAGAAAATCCTAGCACCATTATTATCATTTCAGGGAGAGCTGTTTGCACAGCAGAGAGCTTTACACTTGCTTACAAGGAGACCCACATAGCCTCCCTCTTTTCCAGCTTCCTGGATGAGAGCAACACACACCACCTTTCACCCACAGGTTTCCACTGAACCAGACAGAGCTTTTCCCTGCCTTCCCCACCAAGAATACCTGGCTATAATCACAAGAAAGCCCAGCAAAACTGTTAATGAAATCAGCCTGCATACATCAAGGGGCACCCAGGAGTCCAGGCCTTCTTGACTGTGGTCAATCAAGAGTCTGAGGAAATGTTTATCAGTGTCTCATAGCCTCTTGAACTTTGCAAGGTATTTTATCTTTATTTTATTAAATAGATAATAACGAATCTGCAAAGATAAGCATGACCAGAATGTTTAATACAAAATAACAAGTTCCCAGCAACTGTAGGGCCTTCAGATAAATTCCCCTCAAAGCTAAGCTTACACGGAAAATTGCTATTGCTTGTATGTGTTCTTTACCAGGACGCTATCTGTCACATTACAAGTAACAGGGGGAGGCTTAGAGTTCATGAATGCCCTGCACTAGCTTAGAACAGACACTGAAAAATTATTTACAAATAAAACAAAGAAAAGGAATTCTTGATAAGCATAATTACCCAGAATAGCATCAAACTGGGAAACTCTGTTTAAGTAAAACATGCCAGTAATTTATTTGTTATAAGAGAACTGGAGGCATTTTCCCCACTCCCATCACTCCAACAGACTCTTACTGTGCTCCTCAGTGATAAGTGCACAACAGCTTATTTGTTTCTTCCTCTTTAACTCCTTCTTTATAGATTTGCCCTGTGGTTCAGTGTTGTGAATTACAGCCAAGTACCACCCGTTTTGTTTTTGGTTTTTTTCAGTCCATATAGGGACCACTGTTAAGCTGTGTTAATGCAAATCTGCAAGCTTTCACTGGTTAATCATGAAAGCTTTGCCAAATAGACTACAGAAATTTGAGATGACTACAGGTTGGCCCATCTCTGTCTGAGTGCTCCCACAGTGCTGGAGCACAAAGAGAATGGGAATGCCTTCTCCCACAGGAAATGCTCTTCAACCACTGTCCAAGAGACTGGCTCTGTATAAACAGAGGAAGGAAGAACACTGCCTCCAAAATCAAATACTATTCCTCTTCAAAAAGAAGATACATTTTCTCAGACAATTTCCATTAAAATACTGATCAGCTCAGACTGATCAACATTTTGTAGTGTATAGAGGAACACATTTCAAGATGATGGCAGTTGGACTTCATAGACTAGAAAGGAATAACCTAGGTGCAGCCAAAACCACATTATTTCATAAAGCAGATCTGCTCTCTGGTATTAAAGAATGCAATTTAAAGTGACCTATCAGCTAAAAAGAGAACACACTAAGCATTAATGTGCTGGAACAACAACAACATAAGAGTTGGGTTTCTTTTGAAACAAGCAAATCCATTAGTGTGATTATGCTAATAAATGTGTCAATTAGGTTTTAGGCAGAGTCTAGTAGAGACTAATTTCTGCTCTCAGGAAAGGCACACTCTCCCAGAGTAAAGAGCAAATTTTACAGCAGATGAACAATAAGTAGCCAAGCAACAGAACCATTTCACCATCACCTAAATGTATTTTCCTATATCAGAAATGCAAGTGGTTTCAGAATCAAAGAGAAGAACAAGAGGAAGTACGATGTTATTTACGAAGCCAGCATACTCCATCCCAGTAAGCCACCTCTTGGCCTGATCAAGCCAAGCCTATCTATCAGAAGTTCAGGGTCACAAGAGATGACACAGAATTCAGCAAATGTAATCAATATGCATGTGTGTTTTAGATGTTGCTGCAGCCATTTGAGAAGAGAAAAAGCTGGCCTGCAGCAGCAACAGAGGTGAGTTGGGAATAGGAAAAAGCACCAGTTCTGGCTGGTGGTAAGAGCTTAGGACAAACACTCCAAAAATTGTTACAGGGATCCTCCTAAGCTTTGCTCTGCTCAACAAAACCAATGCAAGGACATCTAGGGAGGTTGAACAACAGCAGTATACCTCTGTTCCCTGCTTCCCAGTCAGTTGTTCCTTATCCCTTCATGTAAATCAGAAATCAGAGGAGAAACAGCTGTGAAGATAAGGCAAGCATAAACAACTGGTTCTTGGGCAAGCAGGCATGAGATGCAGGTAATAACTCATATTAACAGGAGAGAAATAAGGAGATAGAGATGAGACTAGGAGTGGAATTAGTGTAAGAGTGAGCAGTGATGCTATTTGCATTAGAAAACAAGACTCATGATATGTAGGAGCTCAGTGATGTTTTTTCTGTTTTTATCAAATTCTGTAGAGCTCATTAATATGGTTAAGAAGGATGCAACTGAGAAACACATCCCTGCAATAGTCCAGGAAAACCTCTCATCCAGTGGTAAAATGTGCTGGAACTCAAACCCCTTCTTTCCATGACACAGAATCACAGCAAGCTGCTCTGAATGCTCAGTGTCCCTAAGGTCACTAGAGCTCACAGTCACCAGACCACCCTGAGCAGTCATAATTCATAAAGATAACGAGGAGAAAACCATCCACACTAACAGAAATTCAACATATTTCATCTAACTCCACAGAGGCAAATTACAAAGAAGAGTTCAGTATGCCTTTCATACATTTCAAGCATTTATCCATTTCAACTGCACAATCATCTCCAGTACACTACTAAGCAAAACTTTTATGCATTTTCTGCCACTGAGCTAAAATGCTGATTACATTAGAGATCTAACAAATGTTGTAGCTTATCATCCTTACTATCTCTGCTTCACCAAACAAAAAGAAATCTAAAACTAAATTTAAAAAGAAAAATCACAATTCATTCAAATCTTAGTAATGTGCTGGAAAAGAAGCATGTTCAGTTTTGAATGAGCTACAGTGAAACACTAAATACCTCAGCTGTTTCAGGAACTCAACATCGGAGCTGCTGTTAATGAGCTTGATGAACTCCTCGTAAGAAGGAGCATATGTGTAGTCTTTCTTCTGATGCTCATTCATCTGTTCTCTGTACTCCAGCTGGCTGAGTAGCATTCGGTTAATGTAATCTGGATCACTGAGCAGTTCCACCACTGGTTTCAGTACTGGAGAGGAAAAAAAATATTTTAGAACAAGATCCTTATCTTGAAGAATAACTGCAGTCTTGCAAATGAAAACTACAGATAAAAGGCAAAAAAAAATCCAAGTTTATAAAAATCAAAAAAATCCAAAACCAGTCTTCTGGACCACACAGTACATTTGAGATTGCATATACCTTCTTGATAAAACTGGTTATTCTATTACTGAAATTGATGTACATTGACAAAGCTGAGCTCTATTTGGAATATTCCAAGTGTTTTTGTTCTTTATGCTGGGTGCTCTGAAGGCTATGACATTATAGCCAGTATAACTGAAACTAAATTGGATTGCATAATATACTTGGGAATTCAAAATTTCTGAATTTGACAGTGACATAGAAAATGCATACCATATCTATAAAGTGTAGCTGATAAAAGCAATCCAGAAATCCCTTAATTTAAAAAAACACACTGGATAAATCAAAGTGTAAAATAATGAATTAAATATAATATCATGATTCAGTTATAGGATCCACAAATTTAAGGATGTGCTTATTCATCTGAATGAAATATAAAAGGCCAGAATTATTCATATAATCACTATAAATAATGCCAAGGAAAGCTGCAAAAGTAATCCTCTACGAAGAAATAGAGAATGAGAAAGGAAAAATTGTATTTTATCCTGAAATGTGATAAACAGCCTGGCATCAAATCATGAGAGTTAGGTAAGTATATGCTTGATTTTGTGAATATAGTGTCTTACTGGCTATCACAGAAATTAAATTTCAGAATGTAAAAGCAAAGCATCAAAGACATGACAACTTTTCTAATTGCTAACATTGTACATGTACAAATGGTTAACCATCTCTTATCTTTGATCTACCTTTTGTTGCAAGTATTTCTGCAAGGACTATGCGCAAGCTGACAGACTGGACATCCTTTGAGGGTAGGAGACAATACACCAGAACTTGAGAACATTTTTGCAGAAATCTTACTTCTTCATCAGAGCTCCTCAAGCAGGAGTGCAGCAAAAAAGGTCTGGGTGGATCTTCCTGCCTAGAGGGAGAAAAATAAAAGAGGAGAGAACTTGGATGCCACTTGTATCAGAAGTCATCTGTGATCATCACTTACTAATTGATATAATGCTGCAGCATGAGCACTGGGTGGGTGCTGTGCTGAACATGCACAGCAACATGCTGCTGGGTGAGTAAGCCCATGATGCACACCGTGTTGTTTGCAGACTTCTCACAAACAAGTTTTTGGATGACAGCTCTGAAAGAAACAGGGAGCCAATCTCCCTTACCTTGACTGTGTGCCAAATACTCTCTAGTTTACCTCCTTGCAGGTGCCAATGGTTTTCTGGACTTTTCAGAACATGTTTGACTGATCTCATTAGTGCAGGTCACAGCTGTACCTTTTCTTTATACAAAAACAGCTGTAAAAGCAGAGACAAGGTACCATAGCAGTTCTTTTATGGCCACATGCCTGATGTACTCCAATCCATTTTAACAATAAGGTGACCAAGCCAGTGGTTCCAGACAGACACAGTGTCACCTGGGAGGCACCACAGCAATTTACAAAGCCTGGTCATCAGAAGAAGTCTCTAAGGTGCAACAAAGGCTTGTATCTGTCATGTCTCATACCAGAACCTCCTCCTATTTTCTATAACATCTACTTTCCTCCCAGAGCTGGAGGCTGCCATGCTGGCTAGGTTAGGTTGCTGTTCTAGTCAACTGACCTACTCACAGAGCTACTTTAAGCCCATTGCCTCTGTTTGTGGAAAAAGTGACCAAGAGCTGTATATAGTCAAACCAAATGTCTTCAGTTAGACACCACTATACAGCCAATAGTGACAGACAGTATGGTATAATAACTAATTTTTGCTAGTCAGTTCAGGAGGATGAAAATATGTTGGAATATTAACAACTCTGATTTTGTTCTACTAATACAATAATTAGTCTTAATCAGACTAAAATTAGTTTTATAATTAATTTTCAGAAAAACAAATGTAAAGATGACATTTGGGTTTGATTTGTCTAACACCTTTAACTCAATCACAAATCAAATGTTTTGTTTGCAAACACAGGTCATGAAAGGTGTTTCAATTGTTAGAGGTAAGACAAATTTCAAAACAAGTCCATTGGAACATCTTGGATATAAATACTCTTTTCTGTGAGTAGTGGTTCACGAAGATGATGTGTAATCTTCAGTATCAACCAGTCCAGGTGGTGCAGCTGACTGAGCTCAGAAAGCTGTTTATCTTGTTCTGGTAGGATCTTTTCTCAGTGACAGCTGAATACATAACTATTTTCCTCAGTGCATTTCTACTCCTCTTGCATACTCCAGACATATCCTGAAACCCCCTCTACACCACATCAAACATTCCCTGTCATGTTCTCCCTCAAAGGTATTCATTATTTATCCAAACCTAGACGTGTCCTAGGCAGATTACTGACAGAAAGTCTGGGTCATTTACCTACAGCCACCTCTTAATGTGGAAGTAAAGTCTTCCAGACAGGTTGGTGCACCCAAAGTCAGCCACTTAGAAACACAGCCAGAAGCATATGCAAAATGCTGGCAAACAGGATGACTCACAGTGAACAGAGAATTATTAAGATTGAAAAAGCTCTTTTAGATCATCAAGTCCACCACGAAACCATGTCTTTAAGTGTCACATCTACATGGATTTTTAACACTTCCCAGGAGAGCCTGTTCCAATGCTTGACTATCCTTTCAATGAAGAAATTTTTCCAAATAATGTAAACATCTCTTGGCACAGTTTGATGTCATTTCCTCTTATCTTGCTACTTGTTACCTGGGAAAGGACACAGACCCCCACCTGGCTCCAACTTACTTTCAGTCAGTTGTAGACAACAATAAGGTTTCCCCTGAGCCTCCTCTCCTCCAGACTAAACACCCCCAGCTGCCTCAGCCACCCCTCATAAGCTTGTCCTTCAGATCCTTCCCAGCTTTGCTGACCTTCTCCGGACTTGATCCAGCACTTCCATGCCTTTCTTGCAGTGAAGGGCCCAAAACTAATCCCAGAATTCAAGACACAACCTCACCAGTGACAAGTACAGGAACTACTGTAGTAATTCCTGTAGCTGGCACTGAAGTGATTCCTGTGTATTAACAACCATGATACAGAGTTAGAACTAAAAGCAAATGGTGACTGCTTTTTGACCTGTGAACATACCCCATCTTTTTTGGACACCTTATTTCTGGAAGATCTTGCATAGTGATTAGTTCAAGTTATACTTTCACAGCACGTGTAAAGCATTAAGCAGAGCCATAATGCACAGAAAATTTCTGAACTGAGATTAGCCTTCTTAGTCTTCAACATCTATCTACAAGTCTCCTGAGGAATGCCAGTCTGTTTGGGACTACAAACACACTGGAGGATTAACTGTAGCTACAGTATCACCCATGCAAGAGAAGTCTGTCTCCCTATTGTAAAAATTTATTCCCAGTCAAGAGCCAACACATACAGCATTGCTGAGCTGGACATATGCCAGGACTTTTCTGACACACAGTCAGGAGAAGACAAATGGAAAATGGAACAGGATAAATAAGCACATAGGTAAATATTTGATTCTTACCCTTCTAATTTGTCTAATGTGTTTCTGCCTACAGAAATGCAAGGTGGGGGGGAGCAGAGCTGCCTACTTTCCAGTTTACAGGCCATTCAAGAAAACCTTCACTTTTTTCCAGAAGTTATCTCCATTACCTAAGAAGATATGACTCTCTAGAACAGGTTTTCCTAGCCAAACTATACCTACATGTGATCTAAAAAGCAAAAGGGAAGATATTTATGAAAATAACAGAGAAACAAAGTCTTCAGGAAATTCAACTCTAAACAAGCCTTGCCTGTCAGTGCCAAACAGTTCTGTCAACAAATCCTGCAGTGTTCATCAGTGTTGGGAAAGAGAAATAAAAGGAAGACTGAAAGCAGGGGAGGAAGCTTGGGGGAAGCTTAACAGCTACAGAATAAATCAATATGACAGTGATAAAACAGACAAGACAAAACACACTGGTTTATATCCTCCTTTGCATGTATACAGGAAGCTTTACAGTTCTATCTGTCTCAATATTACCATTGACGAGCTTGCAGGGAAATACTGTGTGTCAACAAAAGGTCTGGCCAGTAAACAGCTGCCTTTTTAACCCAGGTTTCCCCTTCACTGATTGACATTAAAAAAGAGAGTAGTGAGCAATCCCAGAAGTATTAACACCACTGTTCAGCTACCAAACCATGTCTGTTTACTACCTTGGAACAACAGCTAGGATGTCCTGATCAGGCATATTCTAAAGGCTTGATTAAAAACCTGGATCTTCAGTTCTGTGAGAATGTGGCACTGTCCATTTTGCAGAGACCAACAGGAAAAGCAGAAACTTAAGTGCAATCCACATACATGTACCCAAAGCAGAGCGCTGCTACACCTCTGCAGTGTCAATAAAGATGTTAAGCACTATTAAATAACCCCAATAGTAACACAGACATTCTTTTTTTTTCCTAATTCCAAACATGTATTATTAGCACTGTATGGTTGGACTTTCCAAAGTAATCACATTTTCAGATCAGATTCCCTTAGTAATCACAGAAAACTGAACTAAAACTGTGTGCAGATATTTTTAGACAGAGCTTTAAAAGCCCAGTCAATTAGCCATAAATTCTGAGCACAACTGTGTGCAGTGAACTAATATAAATGTGGCATTCTAGCAAATAGTTCCAAAACAGGCGTGATACAAGCTCTGTAAACCAGTCTCAATTAATCTCCTTTGGACAATTTTCGAATAATGGCAAGTGGCAACTTAATTCATTTGTGTCTTCTTGAACAATTAAGACTGAAGTAATAGTGACAGTAGTTGTCTGTCAAGATGCAGGTGACTTCAGTGATTTAAAACAGTAGACAGAACATATGCTCTATACAGTATTCTTATAGATCATATCCATCTTCCCTCCCCCATGAGCTACAAAGCAAGCCTTAACCTTGCCCAAATTCTTTTTCTGTAATTTTACAAAAAGCCGACTCTGAATTTTTAACACTATCCAATACTTTTATATAGGGTCAGAAAGCAAACAGATTTCCTTCAGTTGCCCCTCAAAGCACTGGAAGATTAAGCAGCAGAGTACAAATACAGATCCATAAATAGGACCTGCCAAAGTGAATTCCTTTGTACCAAGTCTGTTCCAAGCTGTACTTCTCTTTGGGAACAAACTGACACCTATGGTAACTATCTCCTCTGCATGGAGGTTGCTTCATGCATTTACTGTCTGTGTATCCCACTGAGTGTCATCAGCATTAAAACTTTACCCTTTACTGCTGCAGCCTACAGTTCATCCAGCACTTTATAATGGAAAGCATAAGATCAGATTTGCTGCAGTATTCCTGAAGAGAAGTAGTCAAAACATTACCAGTCCTTTAGAAGTATCATCATTTCCTTCCCATACTATAAGTAAGTAACTCTGAGGCAATATCAACACCTTTTTAACAACAATACCTCATTTCTCAGGAATACAGGACCTATGGCCATTTCCTAAGACCAGACTACCACCTGAGCTTCCAGGTTTCCCAATACAGCAACATCATGGAAATATTTTTTTCCTGAGAATCTACTCTAGATATGCATATTTTTGACAAGGGCCATCTGGCCTTTGGCCATTTAGGCCATTTGGCCTATTGTCTGTATTATAGAGACTCAGGACTATTAACTTGGTATGTGTAGTTGGATGTATGCACCTGACACAAAGCATCTTTGACAAAAATAAGTCAGTTTGGTTTGAAATTAGGCAGTAAGCAAATTTACACACACACATCCTCACCCCTAAAAAAAAAACCAAAAACAAAAAAACCCTTGTGCCCCTCAAGAAACAGCCAACCAATAAAAAAAAAAAAAAGCCAAAATAATGCAAAGCAAACAAACAAAAAAACCAAACAAAGCAACCAACCAAAGAAAGCCCCAAGGGGTCTGTAAGTGTAACAATTCATCTACAGGAAATTACATAAGGGAGGGGGGGATAGATAGATTAGATAGACAGAGTTTTTTCCTTCAGC